TATTTTTGTTTTTTTAATGATTTTATAGTATAGTGTATATAATAATTTTATAAATAAAATTACATATTATAAATTAAGAAAATTGAAAGTGACCTTTTTGTAAGAACACTTATTGTGGAGTTGTACCAAATGTTCTTATTTTGTTAAGGTGACAATAATGTGGAAATAAAAAATATGATAAGTGAGGTTATTAGAAGTTTCACCACCGTGAATTTTGTTGTTATTCTATAATAGAGTGGTTGAAAATAGGCTTAGCCAAATTGAAGCAAGGGAATATTTTGGAACTAATAAACATGGCGGCTGGAGAATCTAAAGAGAAACACATCGTGATCTACCATAAGGCGTTTCCGGTGAGTTCTAATATATGGTTGTAATAACAGCCAGGAAGAATGAACCTTTAAAGATTGTTATTTAGCAGYGTTTCCTACCAATTGAAGTATAAATGTAGAGGTTTTTTTTTCCAGTATTTTGGTAAGATCGTCTCATCTGTTTCGCTACTGTAAGCTATCATGACCTCTTTTTATTTCGAGTTCATCAATAAGCTTATTTTTTTGACTCGTTGATGATCAACAGCAAGGGGCTTTTTTTAACTTTTTTTATTTGAACATGAAATTTTATAAGTTGCGGTATAAAGAAATCTTGAATAGCCAAAGAAATCTAAGTTGCTGTTTATTTTATTATCTAAGTTGCGGTATAAAGAAATCTTGAAGAGCCAAAGAGGATAGTAGATGTTAGAGAAGTTTCACCTGAATGCTTATCCACGATTTACCTAAAGTACTTGGATGAATATTCTAATGTGAAGACATCAATTGAGAGAATAGAAAATACATCAAAATCTGACTTATATGTGGATACGACAGACTTTGGTGTGGATACTCGGAATTAAACAAGAAGCTTTTTCTCGATAAATTATTAAAAAAAGACGTTGGATGAACGTTGTGCCTCCATCTTTCGTTAGCGGATGCTTGAAAAACCAGAAAAGAAAAGATAGAGGCTGCTAAGAAGCGCATAGAGACGATAAGGCGACCATCAATGGCAGGGCCGTCCCTAGGGTAGGGCGGGTCGGGGGGCCCAAATTTTTTTTAATATATAATAGTAGTTCAAAAAAATTAGTAAGAAGACACGTAAAAAAAATTAGTATCTAATATGACAAGAAAAGATTTTGGTACTATATTAACTATTAAAGATCCAAACATGTATGAATTAAAAATATTGGAGAAAAAATACATAAAGAGGTTAATCTGTCATTCATTATATAAGATTATTTATATTTTTCTAAGTTTTTTCTATCTAAAACCGACGTCTAAAATTACTTGCTTCGAAAACTTTGATATATTCTCTATAATTTATCTCTCATCGACTCATTTGATTGTTCTATTCTCGCGTGAATTCTATTTTTATATTAGAATATGATTTTTTTTGTTATTAGTTAACGAACGCCCCCCCCCCCCATCTTTTGAAAAAATTACGAACGATATAAGACGGTACAACTTATATCTATATTTAGAATAATAAAACTATAATTGTTTTTTCATAGTTGTTCTTTATTATCTAATATTGGTTGTATAAATCTTATATACTATTCCATCTTTAAAAGAAGAATAAGATCTTAACACTATATTCTTGAGTCTTCTTTTACGTAGGAAAGAGAGAAAAGTAATAGGAGAAGAAAATATTTTGTTCTCGAGGTTTTTTTAAGGAAAGGAAAAGAAAAGGAAAGAAAAAAAATTATATTAAAATTTATTTTTATTTCATTATTTTTCCTTCCTCCGTCTTCTTTATTAAAAACACAAATAAAAAACTTTATTTTTCTTTCTTTCGTTTATTTTATTTTATTTTCCTTTCTCATTCTTTTCTTTCCTCTCCAAATTCGAAAACATAATATAAAAGTTTAAAAATGGTGTTAATCTTCCCAAATTCAAAAACATAATATAAAAATTTAAAATTGTGTTAATCTTCCCAAATTCGAAACATAATATAAAAGTTTAAAATGGTATTAATCTTCTCAAATTCAAAAACATGATATAAAAGTTTAAAATAATATTAAAAAACATTAACAAGAGATAACATGAAAAACCAACATATTTACATTGATTTACATAGCGTCAATTGAAAATCAGAAAAATCAACTTTGTAACCCCAAAAGATGTCATTCTATGTACCAAAAGTATATCATAGGATGCTTTTGATGATGAAACAAATTACCGATACTACATAAAAATGTTCTACTAGATAAAATTAATTTAGAAATGAGTATTGATTGATTTTGCGTTCAGAAATACTCGGAAAAACAATTAGAGTTGCCAGAAGAATTGAGTCTGATTCATAATACTTTTCATTTGTCGAATATGCGGAAATGTTTGGCTAACCCAAGTCTAGCTATACCGTTGCCAGAAATTCAGTTAGACAGTAAGTTGAATTTTGTAGAAACGCCAGAAGCCGTAATCGACAGAAAGATCAGGGTATTGAGAAACAAAGAAATAAATCTGGTTAAAATTCGGTGGAAGTTTCACGAAGGACTAGAAGCAACATGGGAATTGGAATCAAAGATGAAATCAGAATACCCATGGCTTTTTGATTAAAGGAATTCCGGGACAGAATTCTTTTAAGGGGTGGATAATGTGATAACTTGATCCTGGTTATCACCCAAGGTAATTAGTATGTGATTATTTGATTAAATGATTATATGATAGCATGATAAATTGATACGTTTGATCATGCTGATATGTGAAAATTATTTGTATAATATGGTTATGTGTATCAGAATATGCATATATGTGGATATGTATATATATATATATATATATATATATAATATTATTTTACACACATGCATATTAGGAAATGCATGATATGTGTGGAAGCATGCATGTGCATGAGGGTTTTGTGGGAAGGGGGCTGTTAGCCGACCTTCCATTTTTGGAAAGTATAAAAGGGAGGTTGAGCCTCCATATTTTCTCTTCTTGCTTTGGTTAAAAAGTTGTGCGATTTAAAAGAGAAGAGAAGTTGATCGGATATCTTGTCTAGGAGATTCAAGTTGATTTCAAGTATTTGATTTCAAAAGCTTGTTAAGGTGAGTAATTTCTAAACTCTTTTGTATAAAATTATTACTGGTTTTATATGAATCTTGCTTATTTTTCGAAAGAAATCAGCCTTTTGCTCAAGTGTTTT